TAATGAGACATTGAACAGGTGTTCCTAATAATCTTTTAGGTGAGTGTATATGTGTGTGTGTGTGTGTGTGTGTGTGTGAGCCTATCAGCAACTCTAATATACAGTATATATATATATATATATATATATTAGGGGTGTAACGATACACGTATTCGTATTGAACCGTTCGGTACGAGGCTTTCGGTTCGGTTTTCGGTACGCATTTTTGAACCGAACGGTTCGTTGGACCATTTTTCCTGCCGACCAAAATTTCGTTATTTCAAATGAAGGCGCGTCACGCGTGGCAAGCGCGCTCATAATGTGCGTGACCACAACATTGCCCAACATCAAATGGCAAATGTAATGTAAGCGGAACGAAACCACTCGTTATTGTGTGGTTGAAGGACCGTTTATCAGTTTGGACAAATACAGCGCGAGCCGATCTTAATCATCAGCACTGTTACTACACAGCCAAATCCAGTAAAGAAAGCATTTGAATTCGCCACTGAAGTAATAACATCGCTGCAAGATCTAGTGAGAAACATTCGCATTTCTCCGTTATTAACGGATCAAACAGCGCTGACGTGGAAACCAGGAAGAAACATTGTGCCATGAATTAACTATCCAGTGTCCACAGATCAGCAACATTCACCATGGGTTTACTGTAGTAACACTACTAACTGTAACCATGGAAGTTTGGCAGGAATAGTAGGCTATAATGCTTTCAAGTAACATCACGTCGGTTTTATTTTGACATTATGAATACAATTGCTGCCCTTAAATGTTAATCTGAACTAAAATAAACCTTTGTTTATAACTACTACAATATTACATTTAATTTTGTCCAAGGAGCTGTTTTGTTTTATAAGCTCCTAAGAAAAGTCAAGTATAGCTCCATCATTGCTCAAAGTTAAAAAATATCATACTTTATGATGTTAGTTTTAATAAAAATATAATGAAAAAGATTAAATCAAGGAAATTTCTCTGGCATTTCTTTCTTTTTGCTGTATCGGAAACGTACCGAATCGTACCGAACCGAACCGTGACACAAGTGTATCGTATCGAACCGAACCGTGAATTTTGTGAACCGTTACATATATATATTTATATATATATTGGATCTCTCTATTTATTACTCCACAAATCAGAAAATAGTGTCAACAGCCAAAAATAAAAATCACCATTTTTTTAGGAATAAAATGTTGTAAGAAATTAAGAAAATGATATATGAACAAACCCCTCAGTAAAAAACCTTCAGCATAAAGATAAGAATAAAACTGTAAAGTTTGGTGTACAAGTGCTGTACTGAAGGGGAGATTTCTGGCTCAATAGGAGGAAAAACTCATTTTGAGAAAACAGCCTTTAAAGATATACACTGAAATTGAAATCTAGAGACGCAAATAGATAAAGTGCTCTAAAAGATACAGTTCAAAGCGTATTTTGGATGTTTTCGTTCAGCTAGTCTGAAAAAAAAAAAACTTTATGAAAAGCCCAAAACTCAAAATTGACAGATGCATGAAAAAACAGTTTCTGCCTGTGTCTAACATAAAAAAAAAAAAAAAATTCGTTATGGCGTCAATGAGCACATTCCGATGCATGCATCTTTAGCGGCGCATTCCCATCAGACGTGATATGAGAAGGACGAGTAAAGCCGAATGACGTCTTAACCTTCCCGCTCTCCTCCCCTGTGCTTTATTACAGTGCAACGCACCAATTGATTTGGCATCTGGAGGTGAATTTTTTCGGTCATTCTTTTCTGAGCAAAGCGGATTATTTTACCCCTTGACCAGCTAGAAGCTTGTTTAAATGCGTGTGCATGCACATACCAGCTAACCTTCCTGGGGTTGAGAGCTCATTTGTCATAGTAAATCAGTCTGTGAAGGCGTGGAGAGCTTTGAACAGTGGTCAAGGAGGAGTTCAGAGGCCTCTCTATGATGGATGGATGTAATGAACAACAGGAAACAGGATGGGACACACTACCACACCTACGCTTGGCTTTTTATGCCACTCTTGGTGTGTTTTTAGCTCTGGTTGGGAAGCTGAAGGTTACATGTGTTATGCACTGATCAGTTATGATGCCTGGACTACTTTTTTGACTTGTTTCCAGGCTGTATGTGTGCAGGAACTATAGGGATGATATTATGGAGAGGTTGTTGACAGCTAAGGGGCTCTCTGCCTTACTGAAGAGAGATGAAAGAGGGGACAAACCTATCAGCAACTCCCAGCACAGGAGTACAACGCTGGACACACACACACCCACTGAAAAGTGTCAGTGATACATGGGTCAATGGCATATAAAAGTGTCTACGGTAAAGTAAAGGAAAAGGCTGTAGTTTATAACTATGGGGTTAGAATTGTTGCATTATTCCAAATAAATAGATTCATATTCACAAATAAATGTAAAGAGATTCACAAAAATGTATCAAATCCACAAATAAATCGATTAAGATCCACAAATAAATGTAAAGAGTTCCACAAAAAATGTATAAAATTCACAGATAAATAAAATGAGATTTGCAAATGAAATGTTTTATTATTTTACAAACACAACTCTGCCTGGCATTTATTTGTAAACCGCTTTCTGTGCATTTGTAAATCCCCTCACGCACCTGTGGATTTTGAAACACTTCTAGCGTCGACGACGTGCAGACAAATCCACAAATAAGTGGATTCCGTTTACTCAAGCCAATCAGCCAATCAGATAACGGCCACATTGAGCTGGCCAATCGCAGCACGTTCTTGCTACAACCAATCATTTTTATTTATGTATTTATTTTTAATAAAAATAGATTCTTATTTTTTTTTTACTTTGCCCAAACTTTTGTGTATATACATTAATTTTAATTCAGCATATTAAAACATTCTATATCCTATAACAAGAGGTTTCGTTTTTTGTGTGTGGGTGAGTGTATGTATTTTTAGTGCTTTAAAAAAAATTGATGATTCAATTTGGACAAAAGAGAAATTGTGGTTTAACATTGAGTCCAAGCAAACTGACACACATACAGTATGAACAGCCTCTCGCATGAACATACACAACTGTGTATCCACAGAACTGCATCAGTACACATGGCGAATAAAGTCGAATTTCTTCCAGCATAAAGTTGCATCACTTCAGCGCTAGAAAAGCACAGTAAAGCTGCTCAGCACTACATGGCAGTGGAGTTGTTCTATGTAGAGGAGCAGAAGAATCTGTTTTCACAGCACCTTTCTACACTGATATGCTATTTCTTTTCTTTAAGTGGCATTACTTAATGGGGGGGAAGACCCGAGAGACTCTTCATCTCCTCCTAAACACAGACGTGATATAGACGTTTCCCATGCTAGGCTGACATGTTGCATTGTCTCAGCTACAAAGCTCATCTAAACTCGGTTCACATGAGTTCACATCTTTTATGATACTGTCAACTACTTCTAAAATTCCATGTCTTTGACAGTATGATGAATAGACCATGAGACATATTTTTTCATAATCTTCACAACTTGTAAGGGTCTCTATTGTAAGAAAACGTGTCTTAGATCAAGTCTCACTTTGCCAAGCGATAGCAATGAAAACAGAACGTCAGCGCTGAATAAACAACGTAATTCATGCAATGTGATCGGAGCGATTGTTCCATATGTATCCAGAGCAAAACAAATAAATACATAAATAAATAATAGTGTAAAATCGAAATAATTCTAACATTTGGTAGCTCAAAGTTCTATTATAAACAGCACAATCTTGGTGTTATGGGTTCATGACACCCACTGGAGACGCATGAGACTAACAAGCATGCCATATGCCACAGGAGTGAGTGGGTGAGAAGACGACTGTATTATGTAGGAGAAGGATAATTCTGGAAGAGTACAAATCTAAATCAAAGTTTCCAGCCTCTACATCTAGCGGCATACAAGATGAATTTCCTCCTTGCATCAACTTACAGTTCAAATGGCTTTATTAAAACTCATGCGGCTGCCAGTTATTGGTAGACTTTTCTTTGGTATTTTATTCAACCAAAGAACAAAACTTGTGAAGGCAATGCGTTCCGGAGTTCATCTACAGTCTCATTGCACCAGAATAACTTTCTTACATAGCATTGGCATCTTGGTAAATACTGTATAATAATAATAATACTGTATTATAATAATATACTGTCATGATAAGTTAAACGGGCTGTGGGGAGATGTCTTTGCTGTTCATCCTTTTTTGAATCTAAATGTTTATAAATCTAAACTAATTTGTGACACTGACCTTGTTTGTCAAAAGGTAACAAAATTATGCTTAATGTTATTTTATTGTAATTGTTATTAAAATATCAGGAGAGTTTTAAACTATTACGGCAGTAAGAGAGCCATATATGCAGGGTGCTAAAGACCCAAATATGTAATAATGACTGGAGAAACATTCATGCATTTAAGGGTTAAACTGTTATCCTGAAAAACACTGTTTAATTAGAAAAGAGTGCACAAAAGAAAGTAGTCTCAGACTTGTAGACTGTATATTTGAGGTATGATTTGAAGTACCACCAAACACATCTCAAAAGAGTCCATTCTGATCGATGAGCACATTTACCTTGTCATTTCTGCACTCCTTATGGCAACTATTACACTATACGTGCAGTGACGTGAACTGTAAGTCAGCGCTCTCCGTGTGAGAAAACATACGTTTAGCTCACTTGACCTTATGAGTCGCAGTCTGAGGTCAGTTACACATCACTAGAGGTCACAGACAGAAATACCCCCTAAGACAACTAGCACTGAGCCAATATTTAACTGAGATCCCAAACACACAAAGGTGTGAGGTGTCATCCAACTCTGACTTCGATTCAGTTTTATTTGGCATGTGTAATATAGAACAAATACAGTCTGAGCAAATGCAAACGAAATGTCACAGCAGTGGACAGTATCAAAATGCAGACACATAAGCTTACATAAAGATTATCTTTGTTGAGTTTATATCCAGGGATGCAAGAAACATAATACAAAAAACTGATTCGCAGAGTAAATGGTCAGATACCAAACAGATATTTAATGATACTCACCACTGCTTCTCCACATCTGGTTTCCATAATAAAACTCAAAAGTGGTGGGTAAAATACCTGCAAGAAATAAAGGGAAAACGTGTTATAATGATAATAATAAAGTGTTATCATGAACCAACTAGGTGGAGGTCGGTTCCCCTCTGATTGTTCTAATTCCAGCCTGATCTCACGGCAATTCGAACGAATTTTACAAGGTGGCTAATTCGTACTAATTCATACGATCTCACTCGTACAAATTCGTACGATTTTTGCTAATTCGTACATATTTTACGAGTTACCAAATTCGTATGAATTCGTACGAATGACCTACCCCTGACCCCGCCCCTAAACCTACCCATCACGTGGGTTTAGACAAATCGTACGAATTCGTACGAATTGGTCGTGAGATAGCGTTGTTTATTCTTATTTTTCTTAATCTGGAACTGTACATGTTCATGAAGCCATAGGTGGCTAGCCAGGTATGTTTCAGTTTGGTTTGTGCCAATGGGTTTTAGGCACCATGAAAGTAGTTTGGTTCTGTTCTGGGTAAGAGATCTCAAACCAAAATTGGACCAATAAGCTGTGAGCAATAACATTTCTGACGCAATAAAGTTACTCCCTCGGATTCTCTTGCTCACTATATAAAGGTCACTACATAACAGATTTTTAAAGACAAAATCGCCTGGCTTTTAGTGACGATTATTTATTATAAATATATTATTTTAGTTTAACAATTACTATTAAGCCTTTAGTTTAAATGAATATAAATTTATACCGATAATATGTAATGTAAATAAGATTTGGAATCGATAGATAAAGATTTAAAAATGACTACATGGGAGCTTACATCTTCAAGTCTCTTTTACCTACAGTATATTATCAACTACATAAACTAATTTCATAACTTTCATTTGCACTGATGAAGCAAGACATTTATATACTTAATTTTCTTAATCTTCGGCCAGAAGTGAAAATTGAATCGCGAGAAGTGAATCACAGTGTTTCAAAGTATGCGATTGGCTGTTCGCCACCGATGTCACTTTCATGTGCAACACACTCAATACTCAGGATCAATGCCTGAGTTGACAGAGAAAGTTGATCATCATCATCATTGTACCAACAAGGCTTGATTGGATGGTTTTGGTTTTGTCAACTTGAAACTAATCCCATAACTCTGAGTTTGTGCAACAACAATAGTTGGTACAGGCCCCAAATATAAAAATCCAAGATTTCTGGATTCTGTTTTACCAGAGTTGGTTTATGAGCAGGTTAGGTCAGGGTAGATGCATATTAAGAAACATAAAACATTTTTTTTTTTTCTGTGCATACATGCAACAAAACAAAACTCCACTAGAGTCAGTTCTTCCCTTCTAAGTTTTGGATTTAAAGTGGAGAAACTGATCTTAGACCAGCAGTTAAAGACAGTGATGTCCCACAGCTGCTACTGATATTCCTTATCATTTCATATTCCATATGTACCTATATTCATATCACATTACATCACAAGAATACGCTTCCCCCTGCCTCCCACAATCCATGTGTTACATAACAAGCCTGTCAAGTCACCTATTACTCCAAGCTTTGAGAATTTCTCCTGGCCTTTCATTAGAATGCAATATCAGCCCTGATCACACCCATTCGAGAATTCATTATTAAAGGCAAGCAAAGCCAGGAGTCATGAGACAGGAGGAAGGTATGGCAAAGTAGACGAGTCGTTAAGTATGAAACGGCAGGTGTGGACATCATCTCATTGGTCAGCCAAACACTTTTCGACAGGTCACAGCGAGTTCTTTAGCCATCTAAGAGGAATGCTATGACCTAGGTTGACCACTATTATCATTCCCACTGCATTACGACCTCCATTTGGTGCAGCAAAGCCTTATTACAAACACATTCTCACATTTCTCGGGATGAAAAGCGGAGAAATCAAACCAGAGTCCTGGCGTTTACAGAACGAACGAGCACACAAAAGGAAGAAATTGCCTTTTCATCACGACACAGTCAGAATCATGTGAAAATAATCATGCAACCATTTCATAGCATGAAGTGCGCTCATTAACCAGGAGAGAGACAAGGAAGAGGAAGGAAAAGAGGGAGGGAGGAGGAGAGAGAAGGAAAGAGAACTGGGTCAGAGAAGGCAGAACGCAAGCTGCTCGCTTTATAATTAACTCTTCCGCATTGTTTCTATAATGCCTAATGAGTAAATACAATTGCAACGATGAGGTGCATGAGGGTTAGCAATAACAGATATAGGTTAATCTCCCCAGGCTACAACCATCAGCTGGGAGAAACCTACCGACAGCAGGAGGCTCCTGCTCCCCCGAATGACACCACACCACGTGTGATATTACCTCTGAGGTCTTTTGTGGATTATAAGCAGCTATTTCAAATGTGGGTTACAAGAATGGGGGCACACGTATCTAAACTATATTGAACTGTAAAATAAAATAAAATAAAATAAAATAAAATAAAATAAAATAAAATAAAATAAAATAAAATAAAATAAAATAAAATAAAATAAAATAAAATAAATACATTTTCCCATACAAAGACATTGATCCATTTAGTCCTACTTAATGTTTGTCATGTTTATGCACAATATATACTGTAAAACAATATTTTATTTGAAAAGTTAAATTGCAACTAAACTTGACAACCAGTAATTTTCTTTCTCCTATATTTTCAGAACTAAAGATGAATTAAGAGGAAATAATTCATAAAATTTACATACCATTCAAAACGTTTGGGTCGGTCAGATTAGTAAATGTTTCTGAAAGAAGTCCCTCATGCTTATCAACACTACATTTATTTGATTATAAGTAAAACCTGTTAAACTGCAAAATATTATTTCAATTTGAAATAACTCTTTTCTATTTGAATATATTTTAAATGTAATTTATTCCCGTGATGGCAAACCTGACTTACTCCAGTCTTCAGTCACATGATCCTTCAGAAATCATTGGAATTTGCTGCTCAAGAAATGTTCCTTATTATTATGAATGGTTAATATTTTTGTGGAAACCCTGATACATTTTTTTCTCAGGATTCTGTGATGAATATAAATTTCATAAGTACATTTATTTGAAATTAATTTTTTGTAACATTATTTTAAAAAATCTTTACTGTTACTTTTGATTAATTTAAAGCATCGTTTCCCCAAACTTTTGAGTGTTCCCTCAGTTTGAACGCTGGTTAAAAAAAATCTAAACAGACATACAATAAGTGTTTCAATTAAGCATGAGAGAACTGCCCCAAGCCTGATCTTGAACATAACTTGTTTTGCTTTCATGTGTTATAAAACATTTTTTGTTGTGTTTTGATTCTGCTAAGCACTCTCGCTATTTTCCAGGGGGAGTATGCGCCGTCTCAAGTCTGCTATCCCACTTTCTTGCATGTAAATAGAAAATAATGAAAACACCCTCTATTCTAAATGCGTTTAGCGCTGTGCGTTAAAGTGAACCCAAAAAGTAGGTCTTGTTATCATCCGACAAGAACACTGACACTAGGAAAACACCAACTATTCATCATTTAAAAATCTGCAGTGCACTTAATTATTATTAAAACATCCTCGTGAGAAGGGTCATAATCATCTTTCTACTGCGCAAATCCATCTTTTACACTTCTCCATGTTCCTGGCATGTGCACAGGCATGACAAATTAAATATTAAGAGATTATTCATTCCAGCTCTGGCAGAACATGAAATTAATAAATCATCAATTACAAGCCAAAGGGATTGTGTTTTCACGAAACCCTCTTATCTTATACGAGTAGCACTGAAGAGGAATATCAATTTGTGCTAAATTACAACACAATATCAAAGACAACACCATGTTGTCCCATAGCTGGGGCCATTTTCCAAGGTTTTCGAGATTGACTTTTAATGGCCATCTGAAGTGTGAATAATGAATGGTGATTATCACCCTGTGGAGAGAATCTATTTAAGCACCAGAGGGGAGAAAAACCGAGACATTACGGATCCTGGACAGGCTTTTGTTGTCCTACTGTAAGGTTGGAGGCATATCGCTCAACTTCCTCTTCTCCAAGAAACTACCGGTAAAATTCCCACCCCTCCTTCTACGTCGCTCCACCCCATCACTCTCCCTGCCCCCTTTTACTTTCTTTCTTCAAGGACATGAGAGGGAAGGCCAGGCCCCCTGCTCGGCCTTAATTGCCCATGATGAGTGCTCCACACATGAGTAGACAGACATCAGACTCCTGCTGACAGGGACCATGCCAGGAGCCTCACACACACACACACACACGTTGGCTAGTCTGGGGTCCTGGCCCGCTCTCACACCTCATCCCGCGTCTCGTCTCACCTTCACCTGTCCCCATTTCACACAAAATGAGATGTTTTTGCACACATGTTTTTGTCACATACAGACAAAAAGGCCACACAGACACAAAACTGAAGGTTAGATGGGCCTAAAAGCCTTCAATTAGTGACAGACATGAATAAAAACAAAGTCCTGGTGTTAATATAGTGTGATAGAAATATGGAGAGAAAGCATTAGTGTCAAGTACACATTCGGATTCACAAGCAATTTTATTCATCCTGCAATATATTAAAACGTTCCATCACTGGAAGTAAGTGGTGAGTTTTCGTGAACCTTTTTGAATGATACATTAAAAGGATCAGCTTATAAAGAGTCATAAAAGGTTCATAAAACTGGTTGCACTGAATGATGATTCACTAAAGAGTGCCGGTTCATTTAAAAAAGGATGATAAACAAACTTTGGGTCAAATATGGACAAACCCAGACGCTGGGTCACATTTTTAAATTACATTTTTAATCCAACATTTGGGTTTGTCCATATTTGACCCCAAATTGGGTTACAACCCAGCATTTTTTAGAGTGTATGAGTCATGTATTCGTAAAAATGGTTGCGCTGAATGTTTTTGATTCATTAAAAAGAACCGGCTCATAAGAGACATTGGTTTATGAAACGGATTACACTGGTTGCACTGAATGTTGTTGATTCACTAAAGAGAACCGGTTCATATGAGTCATTTTTTTTGTAAATCAGACTGCACATTTTGATCCATTAAAGAGAACCAGTTTATAAAATGTATTTG